TTTGCAGAGCGAGTAGCCACAGTTGAACTTGGTGCAGCCCAAGTAAACAAAGATAGCACAGATGTCAAAGCTCTCAAAGAACAGGTTTTTACATTCTCTGTCACACTCTGACTTGTATCGTTCCAATCTTATACTGAAATTTTCTTTGTTATCAGATTGCTGGTCTTAGGGCATCACTAGCCAGGAAGGACGAGGAAGCTGAACGCAATCAACGCCAAGTCTGTGGCAGCTCTGATAAATCCAGGACGAAAGCTAGTGAGCTGTCACCATTTCATTTTAACCGTCAGGGTACAGACATGATGGGCGATCTGAATGGTTGCAGGACACCAATAGTAGGCAAAATCGAGGTAAGTCTAAGCTTTTGATGGTGATTCTGAAGGAAACCGTCATTTTAGTACTGTCAGTGGATGTCACGCCAAATTTTTTATGCCTCATTCTTCTGGCATGCCTTGTAGTTTCTGGCCTGAACAGTATTCAGTTCGTATGCTCGAATCATTGTGAACTTAGTGCTCTTGTTTGATGTCTTCCTTTTGTAGCTTGACGACAATTCTGCTTCGAGGACAAAAAGACAAAGCTTTGATCTTGAAGAGCTACTAGGGAATTCATCACCCTGGCCCCCAGTTGATAGTCCTATCCAGAACTATGAGGAGGATGATAGAGACGTGAGCTCGGGCGAGTGGGTTGATAAGGTTATGGTGAACAAGCAAGAAGCAAGGAGGCTTGGAAATCCTTTAGGATCCTGGGGAGCAGACAATGGGAATTTATCTGATGGTTTCTACCAGAAATATCTCCAGGATTCTTCCAAGGTTTATCCAGACCAATCCTACAATATGTTCGTGGGAAGCAACAAGTTCAATGTTGCTAGCACCGATGAAATGGATGATCTTGATGCTGCCACGAGCGACTCTTCAGAGCCAGATTTTCTCTGGCAATTCAATCAGACTAAACTTACTAGCATAGGCAATGGCATTGCATCGAAAACCAAGAAACCTAACGGAAAGCCAATGAAAAGCCTAGAACCAAGGTAATTGGAACTTGGCATTCTGTTTGCATGTACATTTAGTTTAGTGAGTTTTATACAATCTGCTTGCTAAAGAAGTTACTAATGGTTTTGCAGGAAAAGTTTTAATCCTTCTCTAGGCCCTTCACGAAAACCTTTGAACGGGGTACCACATCGGACTGCAAGGCAGCCAGTTCCAGCTGAGATGAAACGAAAAGCTGGGAGTAGAAAGTAGAGGTGTTAACTAGATACGTTGAGGGAATGATTGAGGTTTCTTCTTTTATTTTTCAATGATTGTTTTGATTTGTTACAGAGAGAGAGGTGTTACTACATTCTTCTTGTTTAAAAAAAAAAATCTTGTAATTTCATATAAATACAGTTCAAGTGCAGCAATAATAAATCCAGTTGCTTGTATATGTTTCAGAGTGAATTATGTAGACAAATCCTGCCATACTTTGGTGGGGATGGCAAATACTGTGTATAAAGTCTATTTTTCCACTTTCTTGTAATTGATATGCTCAATTTTTAAGCGGTTGCAAGTGTTTCTATATACCAGAAGTCTTGAGTTCGTATCTCCATTTGTTAATATGCTTAGCCTTTCTTAGGTTGGCTGGTTGGCTCTAAGGCCACCTCGAAACTAAGGGGCTAGACATAGCCACGTTCAGATTTATAGCCCTGCAAAACATTATTGTTAAATGAACAGTGTCATGTCATGTTCACATACCATCTTAAGCCCCTCAATTATGTATTAGTTTTAAGTTTGTTCCTTAAATTTATTGCTTAATTTAATTAAACTACCATAATAAAATAAGGTTATCCAGACATGATTTTTGTGTATCACGTGTTGCTAAATGAATAAGCTTCCAAAATTCTTCTCTTTAAATAATCTCAACCTTTCCTTTGGTTGAAGAGTGGCCGTTTGAAAAAAAAAAAAGTAATTTTGGATTATTAGAAGAGGTAAGAGAGGTGTGTGCATGAAAAAAGTATTTGAGATGAATAGAATGTAAAAAATTGAATTAAAATGAGATACGGTGAAGAGGATGTGAGAAATGGGATAGATGTTTATAGAAAAAACTATATATTTTTTGATTTTTTTTTTAAAGTCCTCCTTAAAAAAAAAATTTAACGATTGACTGATTGACGTAAACTAGTAGTTGCCTTCTTGGCCATTGAAAATTTTCAAATCCAATCGTCAAATTTGAATCAATTTATGGAGCAGAGGAGCTGCGTCCCAAAATTTGAATTGTCAAATTTGAATTAGTTTAGGCTAGGAGAGGGGCTTCAATTGGGTCATTTTTTAGTTTTTGAACCTTTAACAACCTTAAGAGATACATGTACTCTACATTTTTAACATAAAAATATCATCTAATTATTTTATATTTAAATGAATGACACGCAACAATAAAAAAATTAGTCCAAATTTTTAATCACCAACCAAAGGGTGCTTATCCAAACAAGTTAGTGCATTATATTTTCTTAAAAATGATTTAGATGCTTCTAACAATCTACTAAGGACAAGAAAAGTTAGTTGATTAGAAAAAATTTCATATCCATCACATGCAAATAAAACAATTAATCATAATTAATTAATAATCTTACAACGGTATTAGCCAACAAAATATTTTTGCAGGTCAAATCTTGTGTTCCACGGCTTACATTTATAGCAGGTAGTATATGGTCCAACAAAGCCAACTACATAAAATTTAGAAATTCGAATCTATAAATATTGAGCCAATTCAGTTCTCAACCCTCAACTCTAATCATTTTTCATATTTGCAAGGCTAATTAGTTAGCTAATTACGATGAGTTCCATAAGTTTGAGCCAGGAATTTACAAGTCCAGTTGCAGCAGACAGGTTGTTCAAGGCCTTGATCATAGACTCCCACAATCTCATCCCCAAGCTCATGCCTCAGGCCATCAAGAGCATCGAAATCATCCACGGCGATGGCGGCGCAGGAAGCATCAAGCAGATCAACTTTGCTGAGGGTAATCATAAATAAACCATGTGTCGATGACCCTAATCACAAGGATAGTGATTTTCGCACTTCTGTTTTCTCCACTTGTGCGTCCTCCTTTTGTTTATGTCCGTTGCTAAAGCAAAAGGGAAAAGGGTAGGCAGAGAAAAAGGGAGTGCATAAATCACTCTCTATTAAAATCATCATCTTCGTCACGTCAAATCTTGCGTTCGATGACCCTAATCCCAAAAATAGTGGTTTTCACACTTATGTTTTCTCCACTTCTGCATCTTTCTTGGACATGACAATCCAACCCGTTAAACTCGATAACTGTGGATAACCGTCCGAATATGGTGGATTTGGGGATGAAAATTCGGGTATGTTTTGGAGATTGGGGAAAACCGTGAATATTATTCAATTACGGTTTGGATATGGTTATAGAGGTCCATATCCGTTCCCAAATCCACCACTATTAATAAATCATATATTATGATATAATACGTATGAATATATATGTATATTTACAAGCATTGAAATTATTTGATAATTTATTTCGTCTATAATAATATGAATATATATGTACATTCATAAGTACTGAAATTATTTGATAATTTGTTCCGTCTTTTTCTGTAGTGGTTGTTTTATTTGTTTTGTCATCCTTTTCCTTTTTTTCATGTTTGCTATCGCATTTGACTTATCATGAATACCTCCAGAAAGTATTGTATTGTTTTTTATGATTTGGATGTGGATATTCAATGACAGAATTAGTATCTATTAAATTATATTGTCAGTTAAATGAATAGTTTTTTTGCATGGACGAAGATGGATATAACTGTTAACTGATGGGGAATCTGTTACCCGTGGGTATGGTTATAAATAACACCCTATGGTTAACTTCGGTTATGAATATGATTAATTTTCATAGTTATGGGAATGATATGCAATTTCTGTCCCAAAATCGAACCATTGCCATCTCTATTCCTCCTTTATTTATGTCCATTGCTAAAATAAAACGGAAGAGTGCAAGCACGAAGTGCGGAAACTTCCCATTAAATATTCATCACGTCACATTTTCCTATTTCATGTCTAATTTCAACCACGTATTTTGTGATTGATGACCCTGAGTAAAGGATTTTTCTTTTGGTCAATTGAGTAAAAGGATAGTGATTTTCACACTCTCGTTTTCTCCATCTGTAGCCTCCCTTTGTTTCTCTCCATTGCTAGAGTGAAAGCGGACCAAAAGAGAGTGTGGAGGTCACTCCCAAGTAAAAATCATCACCTTTGTCGCGTCACATTTCTCTGTTTCATGTCTAATTTCGCACGTGTTTTGTGATCAACGATGTGCAGGTACGCGTTATAAGTACATGAAGAACAGAATAGACGCATTGGACGTGGAGAATTTGGTGTGCAAGTACACTCTGATTGAAGGAGATGTGCTGGCGGACAAGATTAAGTCCATTTCTTATGAGGTAAGCTTTCAAGCTTCCCCTAACGGCGGATGTACTTGTAAGATGATGAGTGAGTACCACGCCGCCGGTGACTTGGAGATCAATGAGGAAGAAATCAGGGGTGGCAAAGAAAGAGCAATGGGCATGTACAAAGTCGTTGAAGCTTACCTCTTCGAAAGTCCCGGTGCTTACGAATAGTTGCAGCAGCCTCGGCTGCATTTTCGTGTAAAGTTGTCGCGCGGGGCGGGCTTATATGTGAAAACCTCTTTCTAATTTCCGTCATTCTGTCACGGGATTATATGTGAAAAACCCTTTTTATTCTCCGTCGTTCTTCTTTTCCGGTCAACTTCACGGTGTGCATATTTCTTTTCATCCGGTTTTTGGTTTGTAGTCTTTGTTGGACATGAGAAATATATGAACTAGCAGTGAAGCTTAGAAAAGTGGATGGTTATTTTCATCTGCAACATTATCATGTGGGAAAGTAAGAAGGGAACTTCTGTAAACATCTAAATATGTGACAACGCGTGATTGGCTTGAAATACCGTTACTGTACCATCTATGCAGATAAGTTTCCCTCCAACAATGCGGACAACGACAGAACCAACTATAGCGCAGGGTGCACAAGTCCATTCATTACCAAACTTGACTTAACCAGTACATTAAACTCGAATTACTCATAATTTCAATCACATCAGTCACTTAACCCTCTCGGTGCCAGACCATGATGAGTGATTAAACTGGTATCAGTCCACATTAAGCGAAATTTACATCGTATATAAAGAAATTCAAAGAAAAACTAAAAATACAATGGAAGCAAATGACTATCTGAGTTGTACTGCACTACCAAAATTTCCTTGTACACGAAGAAACGAGGCTCTACGTGAGCCTATCAGGACGCCCCAATGATTGGGAAGATCTCGTAGCAAGGCAGAGAATGCCTGTTTGTATTCAAAGAGATGGAAGATTCGAAGATGGAGCTTTATTGGAAAATTCTCCTGTATAAACGGTATCTAATGTACAGACTGCAAGGAACCGGTGGTTTTGTCTTTTCGACGTTGATCTCACAAAACTGAAGCATAATTATATAACGGAAAGAAGCAAGCTGAGGAAGAGTTAAAAGCCGATTCCCGGAGGTTTGAACACGGTTTGGGAGAAACTTCCTGTGAAAAACCGATCACATTGGAACAGAACCACGAGGTAGAAGAATTCCAAGTGAGGGCGAATGAGATATTTGAGAGACAGATGGAAGTGAAAGGCGATTTTTCGAGTCCAGAAAAGTTTCCAGCTAATGTAACATTAGTGCCAACCATATTCTCAAAGGTGATACCTTTAACAACTGGTAGTTCATCGGGATCATATTTTTCATCAGGATGCAAACCGATCTGACCAGTAGCCTCAATTGCCAAGCGAATGTTCTCCATTTCGACATTGGATATAACTATGTCTTTCATATAACCTCCTCTTCCCATAGCTGTCTTGAGTGCAATGCCGATGAATGAGTCATGTAGACGAAGCTGCTCTACACGAACATTTGATATGCCTCCAGACATCTCGCTGCCAAATGCCAGGCCGGAGCCTAAAGAAGACTGAAGGTTAACGCCACGGATGTGCACATTTGTGGTTGGTTTTCCAAAGGCAATTCCATACTCATCCCAACCGCTCTTGAGAACAATTGCGTCATGCCCCATACTAATGTTACAGTTCTCAATGCAAACATGTTCGGAAGAATCTGAGTTACACGTAACGAAATATATTTAGGCTTCGTATATGGAGATGCAGTGATAGATAAACAGCGTGAACAGAATTTTTGACGCACCTGGGACTACACCGCTAGTAAATGGAGATGCAGGAGAAGCATGGAGAGTTATGTTCAGAACTTGCACATTCCTGCATTATTTCGACACATATAGTTTAACATCATATTAGTTCTTGAAATGCATCTGGTAGGGTTGAGCATACAAGAAAAGTGACATTTGACCTCATAAGCTACGAGCAGTACCTGCAGTATGTCGGATGAATGTGCCAAGCAGGGGAGTTCAAGAGGGTTAGATTCGATACAGTGACATTTTCGCATCTGGTGAATTCGACTAGATGTGGTCGGCTGTAATTCAATGCATGATAGCTGAATTGCTCCCACCAGACGAAACCCTGCCCATCAATGGTTCCATTATCGCCTGGTAAAATTTATTGAATGTGGAATTAGTTACATAAGAAAGGCAGAACTCGGATATATCTCAGCACACAACCATTTTACTGATGAATATCCTCACCTGTTATCATCACATCGGTTAGATTGTCTCCGTTGATCAGGCTACGATATCTCCAACCCGGAAAGTCAATCCCTCGACCATAAGAAGGCAGGGGTTCCACAATTTCCCAGTGAGCATAATCCTGCATAAGCATTGCCAAAAATGAGCAATTTTTACAGAAGTGGGAAAGTTTTTTTTTGGTACAAAGCAGAGTTAAATTTCTGTCAGCAAAGTGATTTCCGGACACCCCTGTTTATTTCCGACCTTTAGATTGAATAAATCAAAGGAAGATCGAGACATAAATAAACAACAGTGTGCAGAAAGAGAACGATGTAGAGAAATAATTTTCACTTGTGTTATATGTGAACCTGGGATCCAAGAATGATGGCACCGGCTTCCAAAAAGAGCGTGAGGTGGCTGGTGAGGTTAAAACTCCCGGTGAGCCACCTGCCGGGTGGAACATAGAGCTGAGCACCACCCTTGTCAGCAAATGACTTGACATAGAAGATAGCGTTTTGGAAGGCGACTGTGTTTAATGTTTTCCCGTCTCCAACTGCCCCAAACTCCAAGAGTGACACACTGTGAGGTCTGGGATCGAAAAGCTTCTTCCCTTCGCATTCTCTGTCCTTTCCTTCTCCATCATACTCGGCACTAGTAAATGCCAGAATCAAAACCAGGGCCAGCTGAAAAATGCGAAATAAAAGAAAATTAACGTTGAAGGGAAGTTAGAGATATGCCTAGAGAAATCCTAACTTGGTAGAACACCAAGAAAAACACACTAAAATCGAAACCTTAATCAACGATACAGAAAGTGCGAACGCAAAATATTGAGAGTAAAACAGACTAAAGTATACAGCATTCAATGTCCGAAGATCTCGACAATGTAGGCAAAACAAAGAAGCAATCTAATCTGAGAATCACGAATCATTAAATAAAACTAATCTTCCATTTTTTGTGGATGTCTTTCACAAATATCGTACGCAAATCCGATATACAATGTAAAAACCAACAACCATTGGATCAGAAAGATCATCTTTTGCAGATTCCCAGATGATGAAAATTCAAAACCAACACACACACACACACACACACACACACATATATATATATATGAATCAAACACTAGAAATCAAAATCAACGTACTTACTAGGCTCTTCATTAGTCGTTTGCTCTTCCACTTAACAGCAAATTAGCAAATTACCAAACTGAGAGAGCAGCAGAGTCTAAAAACTCTGCAAAAACCCAGTAAAAATATGAAACAAAGGGAAGAAGAAGAAGGACAAGGAAAAAGGGAACAAGTAAGAGGAGGGTTTGGGGTATGAAATGCCAATGATGTACATGAAAACAAAAAAAACCAAACAAAAACAAACGGGTGGTGAGAGAAAACGACAGCTAAAAAGGAAGGACAAAGCCAGCTGAAATTTGCAATTTGCACAACAATAAAAAGCATTTTCCACGCATCAAAGTTGGAAAGTTCAAATCTGAATAATAATGTTTTTTTTTTTATCTTTTACAAAATCTTCGACAATAAAAAAGTAATCTTGTTCCTTAATCAAGTTCAGAAATTAAGTTAATCTTGTTCCTTACCAAATATAGAAATTGAATTAAACCTCCACGATTCCCAACACAAATCATGTCTTTCCGACACAATCTTGGCCCCCAAAACCCTCCTGCACAAACACAAAAACAGAGTCAAAATCTTTGTAACTAATTCGAGGATTTGATCGATATTACGAGGTATCTCAAATTAATTATTTACTGTTTTAAAATTTTCAAATAACAAAAATGTGTAACAAGGATTCACAATGCATAATCGGTTCGAGATATCGTTTCAGTGACGTTTCGACTTGCCTGTTGGGTGCTGCGCACGGGGGTGGGGCGGAGGGACCGTAATGTCAGTGATGTGTCGATATTGCGAGGCTGGCGTCAGCCCAAGTTGCCAAAGCGCCAGGTTGCAACCACTCGTGCCGTCATGTGTGGGCCCGCCCTCGTCTGCTCCTCTATGAGTGATTGTCTGGCCCTTGTGCTGCTGCTTATCAGAGTGCTATTTATCCCCTCACTCCTCCTCCCCCTCGTACGGTCGCACTTCGAATTCTGGGATTCACATCAAATCAAACACTTCTACTGACGAACGCGTCTTTGTTTCCTCCCAAGACTTACCGTTGTTACTTGTTTTGCCAAAATCTGCGCCATATGTTAGTCAACATATAATGCCTACTATTTACTTACTTTGTTACATCATTACATGCCACGTTGCCTAAAAAGTATTGGTTTTTGGTTCGATTATTTTATGTTCGACTCACCTATACAATATATCAATGATGAGTTTAATACTTGGTTGTAATCGATATTTTATATTGTCTCATGTTCGACTCACATAACTCCAATAATTATATGTGTGTAAAATACGTTTGATACCTAATGATAAGTATTTGGCGTATTACCGCGTTGTAAAATTATATATAAATATCCAAACCTTGTCAAAAACCATAGAAGAAGGGATTGGCATGAAATTACCAGAGCTTATTTATCAGAAACGAAGCTGATAAGTGCTTCTGGTTCTAGAAAAAGGCCGACGACAACCATATGCTTTTGAGTATATTGACAAAAAAACCCTCGGATAAAGGAGAGAATCACTTGGAGAACCCGCGGCGGTGGCAGTGGAGGAGGGGAACAAAGAAAACCAGCTAGCAACCGCCACCTAGAATCTCAATCATTTGGCTGCTAACGGCCAGATGTATCATAAAGCAACAAGCTTTAGTATTTTCCACACTACTTTCAATTAATTAAAGCTCTTTCTCTTCTCCTTTTCTTTTTTCATGTTTTTGTGGATTTTTTTGTTTGTGAAGGCTGTGAGGGACATATTGCAAAGAAATGGGGTCATGGGGTTGGTTGGTTTCATAATTTGTACAGTTAATTTTCAAAGACCGTAACTTTGCTTTTTTTATGTTTTATTAGTGAATTGGAGCCCAGCGTAGTAGTTTTGTGTCTCTCAATTCTTGTAGAACACTATGAGTGTTACTGGGCAGCAGTAGTAGGCATCATAACTGCAGGAGAGGGGTCGAGGGGTCCCCTGTTACGAGAATAACTTTTAATGTGTCTAGAATGCTACGATGACGATATCTGAAGTCACTAATGTACGGTTAAACATGGGACAATGAGTGAGTGACTTGAGATACCATCGTCGTGTATCTTTTAAAGATAGTTAAGTTTTCTCTACCGCATTAGACATTACAGTAGGTGCATACACAACTACATAAAAGTGTTTGCCCAACAAAAAATGATACGTTGCACAAAGTATAAATTCGTCGGTCAAAAATTTTGGGCAATGAAATCTTCTTTGCGCAAAATTAATCAGGCAAAGTTCAAGACATGATAGGATCCAAGATTGTGTTCTATCATTGATCAAAATCATCATTAAAGATCAAGAAGAGTCTTTTAGATTGATTTTATATATAGGACTAGAGGAGACTAACACAATAATTAGAAACATCTGTATCATACTGGAATAACTACGTATAGTAACATAAATGAAGAAGAGTTTGTAATGTATTGCCGATTATCACCTCGATTGGATTGTCATATGCGTATCTTATGAAAAACACAAAATACATGAGTAAGAAATTTAAACTTGTAAGTTTGCGCACAAACCAACAAAAACATATACTATTGCATTTACAAATTAATTCAAAGTATATATGCTTGATTAATTCATTAACTGTAATTGTAATAATTACACTCAGGTCATAATCCCAGTTGTCCATTCCATTATAACAACCTTAAGACATCTCTTCACTAATCTAATGACACATGTCCTAGTTGTCCATTCCGTTATACAATCTATCAGACGAGAAATTTTTAATTGTGATAGGAACACGAGCGGTACATCACGTGTTTTTATGTAAGTGGTAGGAAATTTTATTTTTTAAGTTATTAAATTTTTAACACACATATCCTACCATTTATATAATGACACGTGGTATACCATCCTATTTGCCGGTCACACTGAAAAATCTCTCCTGTCAGACAGCAAACTTTTGCCCTTTGACAACACCAGTACTCCAGTTCTTGGTTAAACCATAGTAATTTTCGTTCTTAACCAGATCCATAGGAGACGCAACAACCTCGGATCTTGTGGGCACCGAGGCCCCCGAGGCCGATGGATCTGCAGGGGGTTTATCTTTAACAACTTAACACTATAATTTTGTCTCCCATTCAACACATTGTGCTCGATTTCGTTGAATATATTTGGATCCAAATGTAGCGGTAAAAAGTTTGTTTTTATTGCGTTTTGAGACAACAACAATCGACCGAGGGGCTGCGGTTTCGGAACATCATTTCCCAGCTTGCTAATGTAGCTTTTAATTTCTTCAGGCAATGCAAAGTCTACCATCTTCGAATGCTGTTTGAGGTTTGAATCTGAGAACAATTCCTTAAGTATTACATGTCAGAAAAAGATTGAGCAATACTGTTTCTGCACTTTGTTATATATTATATATATCATGCATGCATCATGCATGCAGGAGCGGCATGCACGCCAGAAACGAAAGGCATTTAAGGGTGCATGAAAGGCATATGCAACACATACATTTATATAGGCGTGCATAAAATCATAATGATAAAAACTTTTTTAGCATTTTATCTTCAGGCGATGCAACTTGCAATAAGATTTAACATGGTGATCATTGTATTTGATTTTATTAACCTAGACAATTTTTTTTTTAAGTTCATAAGTTTTTCAATCTGACTGTCACATTTTAAAAAAAAATCTTAAAATAATTCCATTAATTAACAATGGAGAACTGCAGTAGTTGGACATCTTAACAATATTAGTGATAAGCTATCCTAATCTAGCTATGTCATCAGCTTAAGACTAATGTATCAAACTGTAACAAATCTAACCCTCCAATAGTAGCATGTGGTACAATATTCAATGGATAGGATGTTGGGTTTCTACCCATGTGTCCCGAGTTCAAAAATCCCCCCTCCCTAAAATTATTGGAATAGTTTCGAACCCTTCCCTCTCTCCTTATTATTAACAAGTATGCGATCTTATAACACATGAATTTTTTAATGATAATATATTCTAGATCCATGATGTATGTTAATCATATTGTTTATTCACAATATAACACATAGATTAACAACACTATCAAAAAAATTTCTCCAAAATTTCTTCAAAGGATTTTGTTTTTTTTTTTAACAAATGATATTATCTACACTAAGGAGGGAAGAGATAGACTTAGCCTCACAATGAGCTAGCAATATTGTGGTTCAAATTCGTATTTGGCGAGAATCAAACCTAAGACCTTTCACTTACAAGTGAAGATGCATACCACTAGAAGGTAGTACTAAGTCGCTTGTTTTTAATATTTAAATAATGAATTGATTTAGTTTAGTGTAAAGAGAAGTTTAAGTGCATTGGGTGCCACGTAATACTACAGCAAGTGGTATTTCTCTGCACATGTAAGCGGAAGGTTTTAGGTTTAAATCTTGTTGATGACAAGTTTGATATTATCTATTATAACTGAGAAATTGCATGGCTAATCCATTACGTAACCTGTGTAAATATATTATGAATGACAAGTTTACGACTAATTTATTCCTCTATCCCCATAATAAATATGCCGTTGTTCAAAATATGAATTTGAAGAGTAAGATTGGGGTAAAAATACAACACACAAGTGTAAATAAAGTGTTTTTTGTTTTTATTACATGCGATGTTACTACTCTAAATTAAACTGAGAAAATACAAAATATTTGAACCAGAGCACAATAAAATGAAGAGAAATACAATTTACACTAGGACAATTCACTACTTGCATAAACTTTCCCTATTACTCTTCTTTTTTATTTTTCTTCCCTTTGATTAATTTTATTTATTCTACTGCGCAGTGGGCCTAAACCGGGTAACATGAATCTTGGACTGCCTAATGTGGACTCATATAGACCAACTCACCAGCCCATGAGCCCTATCATCCGACCCAAATCTGAACTCAAAACGACGAATCGATTTGCGTTTAGTCCAAAAGCTTCCCCCGTTCTGGCGCGCCGCCCAATAAATTGGACTCTTTGGACTCCCCCAATCACTCAGCTTCCGTTCCATACTTCTCTTCATGCAAATGGCCATGTACATCGTATCACGGCGGGCAGCCGGAGAGTTGACGCCGTTGGCGGCGTTCCGCTACGCTACATCTTCGAGAGCCTATTCGACGTCGTTTAGAGAGGAAAGGGACACTTTTGGACCCATCAACGTTCCCTCAGACAAGTTCGTCTTTCTCTCCATTCCAAGCTGCTTCTGCACTTTTCATGTCTCTACATTTGAAGTGATTTTATTTATCCAAAACGTGAATTTTCAGGCTGTGGGGGGCGCAGACTCAGAGATCGCTGCAGAATTTCGACATCGGCGGCGAGCGGGAGCGAATGCCCGAACCCATTGTTCGTGCTTTTGGGGTGCTTAAAAAATGCGCTGCAAAGGTTTGTGCTTTTTATTTGTTACTGTAAGGTGTTTGATGTATTGCCTGGCTGAGTTTTGTGGTGAGTAACTGCAGGTGAACATGGAGTATGGGCTTGATCCAACTATTGGGAAAGCAATAATGCAAGCTGCCCAAGAAGTCGCCGAGGGAAAGCTCAACCAACACTTTCCTCTTGTTATCTGGCAAACTGGCAGTGGAACCCAAAGCAACATGAATGTCAATGAGGTGAGCTCTTATCAGCTAGTTAGCACTGATCCATGAAAGTTATGCTCTTGGGTCATGCTTCTTGTCTATGTTAAATTGTTAATTAATGGGGCAAAATATTGGACTGTGCCCAGGTCATTGCGAACAGGGCAGCTGAGATACTTGGCCATCAGCGCGGCGAGAAGTTTGTGCACCCGAATGACCATGTTAATAGATCACAATCTTCCAATGACACATTCCCAACTGTAAGTCATTTTCCTTCGTTCTAGTGAGGTTGGTTTTTGCTTTGTTGCTGTTTGTTGAAGTGTTGTGTGGTATTTCCAGGTCATGCACATTGCATCTGCAAAGGAAATTAACTCAAGACTGATACCAAATTTGCAAACTTTGCATGCTGCCCTACATTCAAAGGTTTGGTTATTTTCATTCGAAAGCAGATGAATATTTTATGAATCAAAATTATTTTCTCCTCAAGTGAAACTTGTTCTTGATTCCATATGTTTTAATGTTACCAGTCTGAAGAATTCAAAGATATTGTTAAAATTGGACGAACCCACACGCAAGATGCGACACCTTTGACCCTTGGGCAAGAGTTCAGCGGCTATTCAACACAAGTGAGCTTACGTTCCTCTTGCCTAGCTTGGTTCATCATTGGGCCATACGATTCTTTTTACATCTTTGACTCTTGGACAAGATTGGTACCTTGTTCGAGGAGCTACTTATCAAAAGCCTCTTTCTTTGGCTGCAGGTTAAGTATGGAATTGAACGAGTTTTGCATACTCTACCTCGTATGTATCAGGTAGGCAACTCATATGATTGTCAGTTGCTTTCCCTCCCCTTTTATTTTTTCTTTTAAACCTTCTGATTGATTGATAATTTGTTTGAGCAGCTTGCACAGGGTGGTACTGCTGTTGGGACTGGATTGAACACAAAGAAGGGGTATGAATAGCTTTTAGGGTTGAAGAATATTTTTGTGTTCTTTTTCCTTGATTTTCTCTCTCTACATTTGCCTGCCTTGGTATCCTGATGTATTTTCAATTGGGGGAGTCATGGTTTCATTTCAACTCTTATTTTTTTCTTTTTCCTGCCCTTATATTTCAAGAATCTCAAGATTTTTCTAAGAAAAGTAATTTATTCACCATTTATTTTAGTACTTCGTAGACTTCACTTGGTTTTATATATAGAGATGCATGCTTTGTACATTTACTAAACTTTTAAATATTATAACTTTCATAGTGAATTTCTTATGCCTTTTGGATTTTCATTTATTTCGTGTCTTCCGTCCAGATTTGATGTAAAGATAGCTGCAGCAGTAGCTGAGGAAACAAAGTTACCATTTGTCACTGCAGAAAACAAGTTTGAAGCTTTGGTGAGTCACTACACTAATTACTAAATGCCCATCTTCTTCTTTTGCTGGATGAAAGATTTAACTTGATCGAACAGTTGGTAAACATTCTTGCGTTGTATACAACAAACTTATATTGCATGCTATACATTATTGTCTTATTCCAGGCTGCACATGATGCTGCTGTTGAAACTAGCGGAGCCCTAAACACAGTTGCTACCTCTTTGATGAAGATTGCAAATGACATACGTTTCTTAGGAAGGTTTGTGTACTATTTGGATCATTTTGTCTTTTCGTCATCCCCTTTCCATGTGCCCTTTCTGTAATTATGAATTTCATGTACAGTGGTCCACGTTGTGGCCTTGGTGAACTCATTCTCCCTGAAAACGAGCCTGGTAGCAGCATTATGCCTGTAAACTTTCATATCTTCCCTACATATGTTTATGAAGAAATGGCCCAATACCTGTAACTAGCTTTCCGTGCAAAATTTTAATCCCACCAAACTTGTCATTTTGATCGACTTCATTTGTGTTTCAGGGGAAGGTAAACCCTACCCAGTGTGAGGCTCTCACAATGGTCTGTGCTCGGGTAAGGTGTCTCCTTTTTTGTTTCATTAAGATATACAAACATTTGGGAAGTCATTATTTAGATGTTGGTTTAATATTAGGATACTGTGATCTTTTTTATATAGTTTTTCTTGTAACCAATTTGTATTTTTATGTTGTGCAGGTTATGGGTAACAATGTTGCCATTACAGTAGGTGGATCAAATGGTCACTTTGAACTTAATGTGTTCAAGCCAATGATTGCTAGTGGTCTCCTACAAGTAAGTTCTGTTGTAGTATTGTTATGATTTGTAGCTCAAAATCAAAATGTTGTATGTACTGAAATTTCAGACCTAAAACTTGTAGAAATCAAGTACCCGCATTTCTTGAATGTAGTTGTGGGTACAATAATGTCATAGAGCATTTTCACATACTTGGATGCATTATGATATTTTGAGTTCTCCATATGATGGAACTTCCTAAGGAGATGCCCTTTTATTACTGTATGTACTCGATTTGTGTTTGGAGTCTGTTGTTGTGCTGCAGCGCCACATACATGCAATTGTTCACGGAGCTGGTATTTTTGATTCTTTACTGACAGTCTCTGAGATTGCTTGGGGATGCATCTGCTTCCTTTGAAAAGAACTGCGTGAGAGGAATTCAAGCTAATAGGGAAAGAATTTCAAAGTTTCTTCATGAGGTCTGTTTATTTCTTGGTGAAGAATGTACACCTTTTAAGCATTCCATATCTAAGATTTAAGAGCTAATTGATTTTACGTTGTTTCTGTATTGCAGTCACTTATGTTGGTCACATCCTTGAATCATGTTAGTTTCCACCCATTCATGTATATATTTTTCTTGTGTACTTTCGGTCTGTCAGACTTATATTTCTGCTTCTATTTCAGAAAATTGGTTATGATAATGCCGCGGCAGTTGCAAAGACAGCCCACAAGGAGGGATCCACTTTGAAGGTATTAATTCCTTTCAAGATAATTTATTCCGTTAGATGTCTAATTCAGCTTAAATTCGAGTGGTGGAAAATTCTGTTTCCGTTCTTGTTAGACACATGGCATTATCAAATTATGTTTGAGCACAGGCTCAAGTATTTGAATCTAACAAAGATGCAACCATTCTGCAGGAAGCTGCATTGAAACTTCGAATGCTATCAAGCGAAGAATTTGATACTATTGTGGTGCCAGAGAAGATGATTGGCCCAACTGACTGACAGATTTCTAAGCTGTTGAAAATTGATTTCCCGGTCTCAGCCGAATCAATTGCCGTTGTGTTTCTGCATAAATCCTACGGGTGAAATGAGAATTAGAAGCGATAAGTATGCAATATGTAATGTGTTTAGGAACAATATTCTCGAGGTTTTCTCCATGGCTGGCTGGCAGGCCTTGTTCTTTGGGTCAATTAGGCCGCTGAGGGGAAAACCTCCCAAACTTTTGTAAGAATACAAGCCTTACAGAAACTCGCCCACCCAGCAGTATAAAATGTAGAAAGTTACTTGGTTCTGCAGGTTCCATGACAGTAAGCAAACAAGCCAAGGCCAAATTGCTTAAAAAATAGAACTTTAACGAAAAGCTCTCAATATTGTTCACTTTAATGAAAAATCATATTTTTACACTAAAAAATTAATCTTAGTACTATTCACTTTACCTTTTATTTTGTCTTTATCGTTAAAACTCAAAGTTTTCAAACAATTTTCATTAATTTTTCTTATAAATAAACCTAACTAAGCAGCAATTAAGCAAGCACGGGGTACTCAAGTTTAATAGATCAAATAGAACCAACGATCAAGATTAAACACGAGTGTGTAAGAGATTAATAGCTTGTTTAGATGTGTTTTTAAAATGAATGAAAGTGTTTTTGGTAAAAATATTTTTAGAATCAATCCTTAGTAAAAATGCAAGCAAATCTTGAAAAAACACTTAAATGTTTCCTGGAATAAACATATAATTGGTGCTTCTTGCAGAAGACACCTTAAGTGCTTTTGAAATCGAAAAACATTTTTTTTTAAAGTACTTTTAATCATTTCAAAGACATATCTAAACGAGCCCTAAAATACAACACGTGAAAATCACTTTTCGAATTATTCGAGATTCATTTAATAGTTGCAACATCGCCATCTTCCAAATACAATGCATCGTCTCTCTCTAAAGTCGTTCAGATACAATGCACCTTCAATTCTATCCATTTTATAAAAAAAAGGGCTTTGACATGGACATGGACATGGACATGGGCCTACTAAATCTATCGCTACTTGTCTTTAAGGAACCAATAAACATTTATCATGGAACCGGATCCCCTCCGGAGTAATATAATCTGAGTAATTTTCTGTTTATAACCGTTTGATCAAATTTCAACGGGCCGAATGTCCTGCTCAGCATGCTCAGATTATATTGCTCCGAAGGGAATCCGGTTCCATTTATCATATTTAATTTATCCATTTCAAATGTGGCTTTTAATAAGAAATTTTGATCGAAAATCTTCGATCGAATCACCTCATGACATATTATGTTTGACCAATTTTTAAAAAGAATAAAAACTCTTTTTCACCCGACTTCAGATTGGTCTTGTCTTGTGAGAGAGTTGTCTTATAAGTTATACGGTTGTCTTATTCAAGAGCCTCTCGCACGTATAACACGTCAACGATTCAAGTAAAAAAGAAATAAAAATCGATAATTGATAATTAATTGTTCTGAACGTGTGGCATAGTTTTATGCGCTGGCGAATCCACACATGTTGCCGTATGCATATCTTTTAATCCACATAAGCAAATTTAACAGATGTGTAACGAGTTTAACAAAAACAAAACAATGTAAAACTAATTTTGTATTTTAAAGATTAAAATGACGACTTTTAAATTTTTAAAAATAAAATAAAATCAAAATCGAGTTCCAAGAACGGAGCTAACATGCATGTAGTTTGTTTTCTTTTCTCTAATTTCACTGAGGAAAAAAAAAATATAAATTCTAGATGGGTCTTCTCTCCGCACGAGCAAGACCCTCCTATTCCTTTGTCTTGGATTCGTTCGTCCGTGGCGTTGTTCGTTTGTCCGTGATGCTTTTTGGCTCTCCTCCTCCTCCCTCCGAGTCTCTGTCTTTCGCCCTCCACTTTACTATCTTTACTCCTCCTTCCTCCACGTGAAAAAACGCTTCACACTTTCAGAGGCTCAGCCCCTGCAAAATGGACGAGTCAGATCACTCCTTCTGAGCTCCCCAGTTGATCTCTCACCCTCAGTTCGAGCATCAAGCCTGGTAATACTAAAATTTGACTAAATTTATAATATCATATTTGTTTTGTTTATCAGTTGATTAGAGATTATTATTTTATGATTAGCCTTGTTTTTGAGCATATCTGGATACTGGAGCGAAAATCTCATTGAACCCTTTAAGCATTGCCAAGATCATCACCAGAAAACAAAGATTAGTTCCAAAGCTTCAATCTTTTTTCTATTTTTTATTGTTTTTTTTATGATTTTTTTCACAGATTCATTGAAAGCTTCAGTTGGAAAAATGGAGTCCTGTGATTGCGTAGATGCACAATGGCCCCCGGATGAGTTGCTGGTGAAATATCAGTACATATCTGATGTGTTCATTGCCCTTGCCTATTTCTCCATTCCCTTGGAGCTCGTATATTTTGTGCAGAAATCCGCTTTCTTTCCGTACAGATGGGTGCTTATGCAATTCGGTGCTTTCATTATTCTTTGTGGAGCAACCCATTTCATAAATGTCTGGACTTTCTCTATGCACACCAAGACCGTTGCTATAGTTATGACTGTTGCCAAGGTTTCGTGTGCCGTTGTATCGTGTGCTACCGCTCTAATGCTCGTTCACATTATCCCTGATTTGCTAAGCGTCAAGAGCCGGGAGCTGCGTCTGAAGAACAGAGCTGAAGAGCTTGACAGGGAGATGGGGCTCATGCTCACTCAGGAAGAAACAGGAAGGCATGTTAGAATGCTGACTCATGAAATTCGAAGCACATTGGATAGGGACACTATATTGAAAACTACCCTTGTTGAGTTGGGTAGAACTTTAGGCCTCGAGGAATGCGCGTTGTGGATGCCGTCCAGAACCGGTATGAACCTACAGCTTCATCACACTCTGAACTACCAGATACAAGTTGGGTCTACTGTGTCAATAAACCTTCCTGTGGTCAATGAAGTCTTCAATAGTTCTCGAGCAATTCGTATACCATACACCTGCCCACTGGCCAGGATCAGACCGCTTGTGGGAAGATATGTGCCGCCTGAGGTTGTTGCTCTACGGGTACCCTTATTGAATCTTTCGAATTTGAAATCAATGACTGGCCGGATCTCTCTGCCAAAAGCTACGCAATCATGGTATTGATTCTACCCACTGATAGCACCAGAAAATGGCGAGACCATGAATTGGAGCTCGTTGATGTTGTCGCAGATCAGGTCTGTTTTCACGTTCACTTGCTTCCTTTTCACAGCATGACTCACTGTCCTGATGCATTACTCGTTTTCTTCTGTTTTCACAATGCTTATTTGCTTACTGTTTAACTACTGCTTGCATCTTAAGTTCATGAATTGAAAGAGTAATGTATTTATTGGGAGCTCTTATGCACATTTGTTTCCTGATCTTGCCGAAACAACTGATATATCACTTGCCTTCCTTATGATTCCTATATACTTACTAAAGGTTATAACAAGTGTAGCTGTGCTCAGGTAGCTGTTGCTCTTTCACATGCTGCTATTATGGAAGAGTCTATGCGAGCCCGTGCTCAGCTCGTGGAGCAGAACAACGCTTTAGATTTAGCTCGGAGAGAAGCAGAGATGGCAATCCATGCTCGCAATGATTTCCTTGCTGTCATGAACCATGAAATGAGGACACCAATGCAGGCAATCATTGCATTGTCTTCTCTTCTGTTAGAGACGGAGCTGACTCCGGAACAAAGGCTTATGCTAGAGACAGTTCTAAAGAGTAGTAACCTTTTGGAAACACTTATTAATGATGTTTTAGATCTTTCTAGACTAGATGATGGCAGTCTAGAATTAGACAATGAAATATTTAACCTCCATGGAGTTTTCAGAGAGGTAAATTTTCCAGACCCGGGGCCTGAATGTATACTTTCGAATAATTTGGTTTTGGCAAACTTACGTGCAAGCCTTTTCCAAACTGTAGGTAATGAATTTGGTACAGCCCATCGCATCTGTGAAGAAGTTGTCTATGACTTTGATTCTAGCCCCAGATTTACCTGTGTGCGCTGTTGGAGATGAGAACCGGCTTATGCAAACCATTCTCAATGTTGCCAGTAATGCAGTGAAGTTCACAAAGCAGGGCTATATTTCAATTATAGTGTCTGTTGCGAAACCAGAATCTTCAAGAGACTGGCAACCACCGGAGTTTTATCCAGCGTCAACTGAGGGCCACTTCTACCTACGAGTTCAGGTCTTGTGCGATTTATCTTTGTTTAGTTTTTCTTTGTATGCTGAGGTCGAGACATCTCTTGGTAACTCTGACATCGATGCAACGTGATCTAATGGCACTCCTGATGTTGCAGGTTAAGGATTCCGGCTGTGGTGTTCTCCCAGAAGATATTCCTCATGTTTTCACCAAGTTTTCTCAGCCCCGAAATGGATCCAATCGAACAAACGAGGGTGCAGGACTTGGACTTGCCATTTGCAAACGGTAGACTTGAATATTTTCTGATTTTTTACCAGTTCCATAGGGCATTGAAAAATTTGCATCCTGCTTTTTTTTTATTGCCTGTTCATCCAACTTGGTCACCACATTTTCCAAAATGACTTGGATTAGGTTTGTAAACACCATGGGAGGTCATATTTGGATTGAAAGCGAGGGTATCGACAAAGGGAGTATCGTTGCATTCATCGTCAAACTGGGGATATGCGACAATCATAGTGATACAACAACGCACCAGGTCCAGATGCCACCTAAAGGACAAGCAAATTATGGAAGCGGAGATCTCGTTGGACGCAAACCATCCTTTAGGGATCGGTTTGGCTCAAGTTCATCGAATGCACGTTATCAAAGAAGTCTTTGAATGCCAGTGGTCAGAGTCATCCATGTTTGCTGCTTGACAGAGACATTAGCTCAACCTGGGAATTTTGATTTAGCTTGTTAAGGTTGGAAGAAATCTGTAAGTTTCAAAGTTTAGCAATTAGCACAATCATACTTGGAATGTAACACTGAACGATGCCGTTTATAACTGTTAATCATCATCTTTATTATGGCAATTGTTTCTTAATTAGAAATAAACAGTATCAGAAGTGTTTTTTTTTTGTTAAAACTCCCTTGTTTCTTTAATTAGAAAGTGTTAAATCCTCGTCCAGATGAGGCAAATCAGGTAATTAAACATGTTATACCGTCGATACTCCATTATCTTCAATCATTCGAATACTGGATTGAAAGAAACCTATATCGTAGACAACTTTCAATCATCAAAAAACAGAATTTTAACGAAACATTTCCGATAATGTTCACTTTTAATGCATCGGAGAACACAGAAATTGTTAATCGAGAATAAAAGAAACTAAACTTCATACAGGGTATGCCGATTTTGAAATCTCTTTCAACTAAAAAATAAAGTACCGACGTCCAAAAATAAACGAACAAACTTGCTCGTTAAAACTAATCTAACAAAGTAAGTCGAAACAAATGGACCACAAGTAGTCATCAATCCATCAGTTCTCGTAGAGCACTCACTTCTTTGATTTCTTGGATACCCTGCAAGTAAAAGAGACAAGGTAATGAGGAAAAAACAACACCAACAAGGTCAGCAGATAATATATATATATATATATATATATATATAGGGTTTCAAGGCAGGGTACTAACTGTGTTGGTTGAGCTGCAGCTGGGGCAGCGGGTGCTGGTGCTTTCTCTTGAGGTCCCTGAACGCAGAGAATAATCAGCAACGTGAGAATCTCATATGAATTACATAATAATCAGTAAACAGATTACGGTGACAATACCTGAGCCAAGCGTTCCTCTCTCCTGGCGTGCTTCCTCTCCCTGCTAGCCTTGTTCTTTGCCCGCTTAGCCTCGAACTGATCAGACAGAGTCTTCTCTCTTGCCTTCTCAGCCTTTGACTTGTGAATGCTCTCCATCAGCACTCTCTTATTCTTGAAAACATTACCCTTAACCTTCATGTACATGTCATGGTACATGTGCTTGTCAATCTTCTTTGATTCACGGTACTTGCGAAGCAACCGCCTGAGCACCCGCATCCTCCTCATCCATAGGATCTTGGTAGGAAGCCTTGCCTCCCTGGTACCCTTGCGCTTACCTAAAAATTTAAGAAACCAATCATTAAAATGTGACTTGCTCCTGGTCCGAATAAATGCAAACACTAGCCGAGATAACACATACAATAACATACCATATCCAGAGTGACGTCCCTTTCTCTTAGCCTCCTTCATACGACGTGCACGAGAGCGAGAGTGAATCTTGGTCGGCTTCCTGATGATGAAACCATCCTTGACCAACTTCCTTATGTTTTGGCCTGCAATTCAGAATCAAACACGTGAACAAACAGTACACGAAAAGGCAGAAATGCTCAAAAAAATTGGCATCCGAATACCGTCAGTTTAAACATCTACTTATACAATTGCAAATTATTGGCGAAACTTCACAGGTAGAAAATACGGGGAAATTTCAAATATAACACAAGTAAAACATACATTATCGCAACACGAAAACATCTCATCACATTTCGCTCTACAGCTACAAAATGACTTCAATTAAAACATAATCCAGATTATAACAATTAAACCAACGTTAATTACTTGATACTGATTTGCAGATAATAAAAAGCTACCACTCAACTCAAAATTCGATATCAATTAACCACAGCTCACATACTTCAAACAAATCGTAGATTAAATCTAACACAAATATATAATCTTTCAATAAACCCAGTTCAAAACAGTTAACAGACATCTCAAAACTTCAGCAACCGTACACAAATCCCTTCCGTACAACACAGAGTAATTACATGTTTAAGTTTTCACGATAGCCAAACAGCGGATTAACGCGGGATTAAAGAAATGGATTGAAAATTAATTAAGTGGAGAAAACAGCGCAGGATATGCAGATCAAAAGAAGGAAACAAGGAGGAAAATGAACGGAAAGGAGAAGAAGAACGTACGAGAATTGGCCATGGAGATCTCGCTGACTTCATTGGGGTCGAGCCAGACCTTGCCGCGACCGCACTTGAGGACGCTGGAGGCGAGCCTCTTCTGGAGCTTGAGCGAAACCATCGTCCGTGTCTTACCTCCTTCCTTTCGGCAACTGCTGTGGGCAGAGAGGCTGAGCTCTGTGTATGACAAGCTTTTATATATCGCTCGCTTTTGCGGTTTTGGAGTTTCGACCTAGGGTTTCACCATACGACTGGGCCTTATAATTTCATGGGCCTGTTTCTTCTATATTTGTTTTATGTGGGTTCTTTAGTTGGGTGGACCAGCTTGTTTGGATTGTAGGCTGCAACTCCCTTACATGAAGCCGGAATCGCTAGTAATTGTCGCTCAGTTATACAGCGGCAAATTCGTTCCCCGGCCTTGCTCACAACTCCAATAATAAATTCGGTTATTTCTTAGCAAGTAATATATTGGACTAGGCTTAAATATGTTTGACTGGTTTAATTTTCATTGTCTTATCTAAAAACCTATAATTCAAATTTGGGAATGGATGGTGTACAAAAATTGATTTCTGCTGCAAATTATATTTATTATGTGATTGTTCACTTCTGGGTTACTATATAATGTGTTGTTAGTTAGGATATTTTTCTATGTAAATTCTAAGCTTATAAATAGGCACTCTAATGAGAAAAAATGACTCTGATTTATCTTCCCAATTTATTTCTCGTTTCTCTCATGTTTCTCTCTTTCTCTATATATGTATCTCTCTAACAATGTCTCTAATATTTCCTTTCTTTTTAAATTTAAAAGATTCTAAGGGCATATCTTGCGAATCTCATATCTTGACACTTTACGTTGTTCCAAAGTTAATCTAATTTTGTGCATCAACAATGCCAATTTAGAAATAAACAGACATTCTCGTTGTTTCTTTAGTATGGTCATGGTTGGCTTGGAGAACTTTTTCGAACTTGCAACTAGCTTGGAGATTACGTAACTTTTTCGAACTTGCAACTAGTAAGGAGATTACAAATTAATAAGTTACTAGTAGAACATGATTCTGCCCTCATTGTTTCTTTAGTATGGTCGTGGATAATCAACCATTGGGTTCTCTTGTTTCGGTCTGTCGAAATTTGTTTTCAAGAACTTTATTTATAGTTTTAAATACGAAATGTTTAGGTACGAAAGAATTTTGTGACCGATAGTTTGGCATACATCCATACAAATTGTGTTTTGATTGCTCTTTTCCTTGTTGTGACAATTTGAGTTCTTAAGGATTGATTTGAGATATCCAAAACTAATCTTATCTTGTTTAAGTTGTTTGGGTCCAAGCCTCATCTGAAGGATCAATTTGAGAAAAACACCTATATCTGTTTTAATTCAACGCTCTACCTAATTGTTAGAATTACATAAGGTGGGTAGAAGAAGAAAAAACGTGTGTGAAAATCACTTACGTGTTTTAGCTAGGTTGCCTTATTACATAAAACCCCTTGTGTTTGATATTGGTTTGCTTAGTTAAGGAGCTCGAAATGTGGATTAGTTGGCCTAAACAAACAATGTCTACAATATTATTAAACCCGGCCTCGTAACCCAACATATCCGACCTCAACTGCCCAAGTAAAAAGTAGCCAACAAAAATTTCAAATGCATGAGGAATGATGTTGTCCAGGACCATTTTCTGCACGGCAGTCCTGTTGGCGACGCTGGCAGTAATCCTCTTGGCCTTGTTCTCGCAACTACCCAAAAGAAAGCCGTCGCCGCCGGGGCTCGACCTTTCATTGTACATCCAGCAACCAAACAACAACAACATTGCAGGCTCCAATAACGCGGTAGCACAACCACAACCCGATGGCGGCGGAGGAGCTTTCATCTTCCACCGGATGCTCACCGAGGGACCCGAGAACACTTCACGGGTGGTGGGAAAAGCGCAGCGCTTCATAATCCCTGCGGAGCACTTTGCAAAATCGGGATTCAATATAATCTATCTGACCTTCTACACGCCTCAGTTTTCGGGCAGCCTTAGCGTGGAGGCCAAGCATGTTTCCCGCCAAGACACGGAGGAGCTTACGGTGATGGGGGGAACGGGGTCGTTTGCTTTTGCGAGAGGAGTTTCTGTTTTTGCTAAGACGACTGATGAGGACGGTCACGTCGATCAGCAATCGTCGTCGGGGAATGTAGTGGATTATGCCACTTATCATGTGAAGTTGCAGCTTAGATTTCCCAATCAGTCTCAGACTGTTCTGGGATGAAAATCTCATGTTGCATAGCACAGGTTTTGTTTTGTAATATGTTAATTCTTTCTTGACGGGAGAGACAAAAATCTAACATATACATGTTGTGTGGCTAACCTAATTGGCAAAAATCTTACCATGTAGAAATTACTGTCTATTTGAACACATTATATTATTATATAAAAGAGTAGAGTGTTAAAATATGAATGGATGATATAGTTGATAATTTTGATATTTAAAGTATGGTTGTATCAGTAAGTGTCTATTGTAACACGTAAACTAATTATATCATGAGATTGTAATATATTATTCGACAATAATTACTCCCTCGAATTCCAAATAACAATTTTCATGCCCAAAACACATACTTGATTGTTCGAGCTCAGGTACAAAGGGCACAGGGTGCAGACAAGTGGACTTACATAACCATCCCATCGAATACACAGAGTGGAACTAGTCTCAAGTGGGTGAGGCTGGGACAGAGTGTGGTGGTTAAGGTGTAGAGGTAGTAGTTGTGGGAATTATGCTGGTGGTGGTGGTGGCGGCGGTATAAGGCTAGTGGTTGCGTCGTGGGTGGTGACAATGACGATAGTGGTGGTGGGGGAGGTGATGGGGATGGCAGCAGCAATGTTGGGAGTATGGTGGTGGGCCCAATAGTGCGATGTGGTGGTTGAGGTGCATTGGTAACAACGGCTGTATGGTAGCGACCCTCGATGGTGGTGTCACTTTTGGTTGTGGTTTTTTGTAGTGATGGTGGTTGTAATAGCAAAGGTGGCGAGGGTAGTAATGGCAACGGTGATGTAAGATTAGTGGTTGTAGTGAGAGTTTTATTTTTACTAAGCATTTTTTTGCTGTTTAATTTTAAAAATGAAACAGTTTTCGGTGAAAAAGAAAATAAAAATCAACGGGCCTATATTCCCAGTCTGAATAAAATTCCGATAGCCCAACCCAGTTCAATCCGATATCAGGCCCAACGGTTAGAGGAAAGGGCGCAACTTGTCAAGCCATCGGGTGTTTAGTTGTGTAGTACAACTTTGTACAAGACAGAAAACGACAAGTACGAGATAGGAACGTACAAGTTTGCAAAAGGCCCGCAACTGTGGGCGCGCACTGGGAATTGGAAAACCGCTCACACCCTAAAGTGTTACTAGAATACGTGATGGTACATTATTTATTATCATATAAATAGTGAGGTATGTATGCTAAAAATTTAATAATTTAAAAAATAAAATTTTTACCACAATGTAATATCCGTATTCAGATCACAATAAAAAATTTCTTCTAATTGAAAATAAATCACGTTTCAATTAACATTACCAGTTCTTATTAATTCTTTGGAATTTTGACCCAAAACTTAACAATAAAGTATGGTTGTATCAGTAAGTGTCTATTGTAACACGTAAACTAATTATATCATGAGATTGTAATATATTATTCGACAATAATTACTCCCTCGAATTCCAAATAACAATTTTCATGCCCAAAACACATACTTGATTGTTCGAGCTCAGGTACAAAGGGCACAGGGTGCAGACAAGTGGACTTACATAACCATCCCATCGAATACACAGAGTGGAACTAGTCTCAAGTGGGTGAGGCTGGGACAGAGTGTGGTGGTTAAGGTGTAGAGGTAGTAGTTGTGGGAATTATGCTGGTGGTGGTGGTGGTGGCGGTATAAGGCTAGTGGTTGCGTCGTGGGTGGTGACAATGACGATAGTGGTGGTGGGGGAGGTGATGGGGATGGCAGCAGCAATGTTGGGAGTATGGTGGTGGGCCCAATAGTGCGATGTGGTGGTTGAGGTGCATTGGTAACAACGGCTGTATGGTAGCGACCTCGATGGTGGTGGCACTTTTGGTTGTGGTTTTTGTGGTGATGGTGGTTGTAATAGCAAAGGTGGCGAGGGTAGTAATGGCAACGGTGATGTAAGATTAGTGGTTGTAGTGAGAGTTTTATTTTTACTAAGCATTTTTTTGCTGTTTAATTTTAAAATGAAACAGTTTTCGGTGAAAAAGAAAATAAAAATCAACGGGCCTATATCCCAGTCTGAATAAAATTCCGATAGCCCAACCCAGTTCAATCCGATATCAGGCCCAACGGTTAGAGGAAAGGGCGCAACTTGTCAAGCCATCGGGTGTTTAGTTGTGTAGTACAACTTGTACAAGACAGAAAACGACAAGTACGAGATAGGAACGTACAAGTTTGCAAAAGGCCGCAACTGTGGGCGCGCACTGGGAATTGGAAAACCGCTCACACCTAAAGTGTTACTAGAATACGTGATGGTACATTATTTATTATCATATAAATAGTGAGGTATGTATGCTAAAAATTTAATAATTTAAAAAATAAAATTTTTACCACAATGTAATATCCGTATTCAGATCACAATAAAAAATTTCTTCTAATTGAAAATAAATCACGTTTCAATTAACATTACCAGTTCTTATTAATTCTTTGGAATTTTGACCCAAAACTTAATAATAATTCTCAGGAGAGAACGAAATTGGAAACTGGGAGGAATGGAATGGGATTCTCAACAATTACACTCACGGACTCAGCACTCATCTAAACACGAGAAACTTACTTGCACCGAAAACTAAACCGACCAACTATGTACTGGTATGCGTTTTAACGCGTTGCATGTTCGCGTCTCAACACAATGCGCAGAGCATTTTTAAGTCTCCAAAGTTATTCTGCGTGATTGTCGTGATTGAAATTGGAATTTACTTGCACTTTCTTTTTGTATTTTGGTGTTTTTTTTTTCTTTTTCAATTATAAAGAAGATTTGTTAGGATTATGATTGCTATAACTCAAGCCAAACTGAAGAAAAATTTAAAAACAGGTGCAATTGTGGGTAATTAACAATCTAATTAAAGATTAAACGCCTCCAACACAGATTAATCAGGAAGAAACTAATGATCAAAATCATCAATTTTGCCCGACTGACTCAATTTACGATCGCTTAAATTAAAACAAACTAATAAAAGCAGACAACATTAATCACACGGAAGCAGGAACGCTCTCGTCGTCAACGAAGCTCCAAAGGTCATCACTGACGGTGCTTTCTTGAGGCGGAGGATTCTGGGGAGTCGCCGTGAACTGCCCGTCCAGATAAGGAATCTGATAGAATTTCATCATGTTCTCGTACGCCATTAGCTCCTCAGAAAGCTTCTGCACTTCGTCATCTTCCATTCTTGCAATCGCCTCCAAGCTCAATTCCCCTTCTTGTGTTTCCTCCACTTCTGTCAGCTCAGATCCGCCTTGACAACCGCCCATCCCGTTCTGATTGCAACCCAGCAACCCCTTCGAGGAGAAAGCGCCATCTGAACCAGACCAAGAGTTTTCTTCCCCGGAAATAACAATTGGGTCGGTGTTCGCAATGGCCATGGAGTTAAACCCATCTGAATTGGAATTGGAGGGAAATGCCGCAAACTGGTTCAGATCATACCCAAATCCCAATTCAAAGCTTTTGGGTTGAAACAGAGGAGGATTTGGTTTTTTCAGATAGGTCTGGGCGGAGAGGTCGTCGTCTTCGTTTGGGAAATTGACCTTGGCTTTATTGCCGCGGATTTTGCGAGCCTCCCTGTCGTAAGCTCGGGCCGCCTCTTCGGCGGTGTTGAAGGTACCAAGCCAAACTCGAACCCCTTTTCTGGGATCACGAATCTCGGCGGCCCATTTGCCCCACGGACGCTGCCTGGTGCCTCGGTACATGTTCTTCCTCTGCCTCTTAGCCGGCTTCTCTTCTTGCACATTACCTATTTGTGAAAAATCCCCAGTCACAATCCGAACGAAAATTCTCATCTTTTAAACTCGCAGAAAACAACATACGGATGAAGAAAGAGCGTACCTGAAATGGGTTGGGATTTTTTACGCGGAATTGAGTCGGTGTGAGTAGTTGGGGTGGGATTGCAGCCGAAGAAAGTGTCGGGATTGGACTTAGCGAAGGGAGAGTCCGGCCATATGTCAGAAGCGGTGACACCACGGCGACGGTCGCGAGGGATGAAATCGGAGATTATAGCACCACCGCACATTCTCGAAGTCGAACAAACTTGTGTTAAATAACTCTCAGAGATTTGATGAACTGAAAATTGAAGGAGAAAGATGTGAAGAGAGAGAGAAAGAGAGAGGAGAGAGAAGTGTTTAAGGGATGAGTGAGAAATGAGGAGGGGGGGAGAGGGGGCTTTTGTACGAGGAGAAAGCCACACTATTTGGGATTTAGCATTAATTACATGTCCTTTTGTGGAACTTTCGTCGGATTTACCTACCTTTTAATTAAATTTTGCTACCTTAAAATCTTATTGGGCCTTTCGTGGCTGGCAAGCTTATCGGACTTTCTTTCGAGTCTCTAGTAGGCCAGCTCGCCCTAATGACGGAGCAATGGATATTCGTATACGCGTAGTCGCGTACGTCCAATTTGGACGTGGTGACGATCAACGTGACGCTGGTAAAACAAGGTTGAAAATCTGCTTTTGTAAGCTGAGATTATGACATTATTTGGCGGCGGAAAGAAATTCACCTGCATGATTCTAGAGATTGGAGTTTTCCTTTTCCAGTGAAAATATAACAAAATACTATAAAATTCAGGTTTTTTTTAGTTAAACTAGTTTCTGAGATTGAGATTACTTCTCACTTTAGTCATTGAATTTGTCTACCATCAATCATAATATTAATTTAATAAACAATGGTCTAGAATGATTTGTCTATAATTGAGAGTATTTTTATCATTCTATTTTTATTTAGTTGAGATTTTTTACTGAATGACCAAAATGATTGATGGTGAACAAACTCAAATACCACTATTATCGACTACAAATCTCAGCAACCTAAGTCAGTAATATGCCAATCTCAAGATCCATTTTAGCTGAAATACCTAAAATTTATAATATGCGAGTTTTCATCCTTAATATTACCTTACCAAGGGTTTTTATTGAGAAAATTTCTACACCTTCCAATAGGTGGTGAAGTCAGTGAAACATATTGTGTTAAAGAGTTTATTACATGGTACATCTGAACTTTTACACTAGTTGTATATACACTCTATCATGCTATATTATTTGTTTTAGCTTTTTAACGTAATTTTGTATAACTGGCTTGGGATACGATCATCATGACATTATGTTCATCTCGGTGATGTACTATCTATTGTTATTCTAATTAATT